CCGCCTATCTACAGGCTTTTATAGAAGTGATTCAGAGAAAGTGAGATTGGGGAGGAGAGATTAGGGAGGAGAAGATCAGGGCGGTTATTGTCCTGGAGCCCACATCCCCCACAGGAAGGAGGCAACACAGACTTTAGGGATGGCACCAGAAGATGGCAGAAATGACTACCTCCCCAATTAACAATGGAATTATAACTCCCACAGAGAACTGGTGGAATGTAGGCTTTGAATCCCAAAAATTCACAGCCTCTGGGATGGGAGTGCCCTGTGCTTCCCCATTACTAACAAAGCAATAAACCTTTCCCTTTATCTTAAAACTGGGTTCTTGTTATTGGGTTGGCATCAGAGACAAGGACTAAGCTTTTGGTAACAAAGAGACTCAGAGGGCAAGGTGTGTGGGAAGGGGTTCAAGTTTCCGTGCCCTCTCCAGGCACACCACCCTCCAGGAGTCTCCATGTGTTTGATTATCTGGAAACTTCCTGAACCCTGTCGTTTGTTTTTTTTTTTTTTTTTTTTTGGTACCGGGAATTGAACTCAGGGGAACTCAGCCACTGAGCCACATCCCCAGCTCTATTTTGTGTTTTATTTAGACACAGGGTCTCACTGAGTTGCTTAGGGCCTGGCTTTTGGCTGACACTGGCTTTGAATTCGTGATCCTCCCATCTCAGCCTCCTGAGCCGCTGGGATTACAGGCCTGCGCCACTGCTTCTTTTGGGGTTTTATGGAGACTCTGTGTTATAAGCATGATTAAAGCCTGGTCAACCATGTAGAAATGTGGCTGAACAAAACAGTGTTGAAACCCGAGTTCTGAGGCGTGACTTGATTCCCCACTTCACCAATTCCTTCTGGGTTCTTGTCTCGGAAATTTTGAAGATTACAATCCATGGACAATCATGGAAGGGAAGAGTGAAAGGAGCAGGATTCATTTAAGTGAGCAGAGACAGAACTCCCCTCAGGTGGGAGGGAGGGGTCCTATAGCAGAAAGACCCATTTTGATGTGCTGGTTTAGGAGGTGATATATATATAT